GTACATATGTATGTATAACGTGTGGAACGGTCTGTTGTGCAGGTCGGAGGAGGTTCTCATCTAATCATGCCCAAACAAATTAAACTACACACGCTGACTGGGCCACAGCAAAGACTGAATTCAAATCATTCGTAGCGGAAATTCATGCCAACTTTTAGTCGAGTCATCAAAGCTAGGCACTAAAGTTTGCCAGCCAAACATTATACATATTGCGATTTCAAATACCCTTATCATTCGTTAGGATGTATTGGGGCTTTCTCATTGCTGATAAGCGCAACGTGTAGAGCATCTACCATTTGGCTATTCCATTCCATCTTAATACTAATACTACAAATACTACTATCAGCAAAGCTTTGGCGATCGTTTGTTTAAAAGCAACAGCGATATTTCGCAGGCTAACAGTTGATCACTGCAGGTGCAGCTTCGAACATGTCCACTGAGGTACTTTTTCTGATCGCCACTTTGGCGATCGTGTTTTACGTTTGGCAGAAGCGGCGCCATAGCTTTTGGAAACGCCGTGGAGTGAAGGAAATCGGGCCAGTGCCCATATTGGGTGATACGGTGCGGTTCCTTACCGGAAAGGTGCCATTCTTCGAACAGATCAGGGAGTTCCACGAGACTCCCGGCCTGGAGAATGAGCCGATCATCGGAGTATACCTGGCCTATCGTCCTGCCCTGGTTATACGCGATCTGGAACTTATAAAGACGGTGATGATTAAGAAATTTAACTACTTCAATAATCGCAAACTGCAAACGGATCCCCATCACGATGCCCTGGGCTACAACAATCTGTTCTTCGTGCGCAGTCCAGAGTGGAAGGAACTGCGGCACAAGATCTCGCCGGTCTTTACATCTGGCAAGATCAAGCAGATGTATCCATTGATGGTTAAGGTGAGCACGAGCAGAATAAACCACAGAAATATTAATCTATAGATACAAGAATAACCGTTTGCTTTTGTTCAACAGATCGGCAAGAACTTGGAGGCCAATGTCGGGCGTCAACCGAATGATTCCGTAGTAAAGATCAAAAGTCTCTGTGCCCGCTTCACCACAGATCTGATCGCGACCATAGCCTTTGGCCTGGAAGCCAATGCCCTGCAGGACCCCAAAAGCGAGTTTTTCCACCATAATCAGGCTATCTTTACACCCAGCTTTAGGCGTGCCATTGACTTTTCTGTCATATTCATGCTGCCAGCGCTGGCCAGTTTGGCTAGGGTGACAGTATTCTCAAAAGCGACATCCGAATTTATTCGAAAGAGCGTTAAGTATGTTATGGCGGAAAGAGAAAAGTCTGGACTGCGCCGCAACGATCTCGTTGATATTCTGTTGGCCCTAAAACGGGAGGCGGCCGCCAGTCCCGACAAGAACAACAAGGCCAAGAACCTGGACTATTTGATAGCCCAGGCCGCGGTCTTCCAGACTGCCGGCTACGAGACCAGCTCCTCCACCATGACGTTGGCACTTTACGAGCTGGCCAAGAATGAAGAGATCCAGAACCGTTTGCGACAGGAGATCGAGGAATCATTCGGAGAGGACGAAGATATCAGCTACGAGCGCATCCAGGAGATGCCATACCTTACCAAGGTTGTCAACGAGACCCTGCGGTTGTACCCCATCGTGGGATATGCCGAACGTGAATGTGCACAGCCCGCACAGGGCGAACGCTTCACTCTGGCCCCCCACCACGACATGGAGCTGCCCGATGGCACTCCCGTATACATCTCGGCTGTGGGCATACAACGTGACCCCAAATACTGGCCCGAACCAGAGAAATTTGATCCGGAGCGCTTCGATGCCGCCAACAGGGATAAGCTGAACATGGATGCCTATATGCCCTTTGGTGTGGGACCCCGCAACTGCATAGGGATGCGACTGGGTCTCCTGCAGTCAAAACTTGGTCTCGTCCATTTGCTGCGCAATCATCGTGTGAACTGGTGCGATGAGACGGTTAAGACGATCGAATTTGCTCCCATGTGTGCTGTTCTTGCCTCCAAGAATGAGATTTACCTCAGAGTGGAGAGGGTTTCTGCCTAGGATCTTGTTTGTTATAAGCTTATAAATTTTTGTTTTTATTTGAGTGTACTTTAGAATTTATTGGCGAGAGCTATCAGAAGAAATTCACCTATGAACGCAGTCTCTGGTGATATTGGAGCTCAAATGTCATATTTATTGCTGTCTGGCCATCATGCCATTTATTAGCTGTTGAATAACCTGTTTTATGGATTGATGGACAGTCCAATTAGAATGGGATTAGGTAAATCAGAGATAAATTAAATTAATTATCTCCAACAGCCTCATGGGAGAGGGAGAGGGGTCTTGCTTAATCAGTGACACGGCCATGGCTTACATAACCGCTTAACCTTGTCCATACATATATATATGTCTAAATATGTACATCCCCTAGCCCTTCAAACACTGCCATTCCCATCTCCTTACAAGGACACCCCGTGGACAATTATCCTTCAAGGAAAATGTCATAATGGCTTGCCACAGCAGCTTGTTTGGTGGCAAGCTGTAACATAAAAACTTTTGCTTACTCGACGGATAAAAAGCTTCCACTACACAACACAGCTGTTGGATCCTTTATGTAAGGACCCATGGCATCATGACTAGCTGTTGCTGTTGTTGTTGCTGTTGCCTTTGTGGCTGACACTGACACTGCTACAGGCACTCATACTCGCACACATTCACACTGTAAGCACTTAACGCACTTAATGCAATTGTCAATTTACTCTCGGCACGAGAGTTGAGTTCCAGGGGAATCTGGGAGAGAGCTGGCAGCTAGTCGCCTAATGAGCGGCTTCAATGGATTATTTACTTGATGGCCTTCTAGGGGTTGGCTAATTATAGATGAGTCCAGCCAATAGGGCTTCATTATATATGTGCTGATACACAATCAGTGCTGTGCTTGCATAATGCGGGGAACTAAATGAATACCTGTGGTTTGTTATTAATATTGAGAAGTATATCTTTATAGCTGGCTTAGAGTTTTGTTTCGGGCATTCTACTTAAGGAGCTATACGTATATTTACGTTCTATATTTAGACGGATAGATATCTGTCTGAATAATTGGGATAGCACTCTAAAGGGAGGGGATGGGAATGAGTATATAGAAATATTAGGAGACTACATTTTATTAAGAATAAATAGGAATTAACGCAGATGATCTCAAAATCGGAGATATATATGTGGCTGAGTCTTTTTATGCTACTTCTAATGCCGCTTTGGGAGCCAAAACTTATCCATATTCTACCCATTTTCTTGGGCACTTAATACTATTCTCTGGAGAAAGCTGGTCCCTAAAAACAAACGTTACGCTTTCCTCACATGTACATAAGACATCAAAAATTTACGTGCAACGCAACGGCAAATAAAATGACATCAAATTTAATGATAAACTACAGTTAAGCCAATTTACAGTTGACTTGTTCTAAGGGTGCAACTGTCTCTGCAACTGGCACCACTGCCACTGCCACTGTCAGGGGCATTGGCAAATGCGTGGCACGCAACTGAATGACTTTGCACTGACCTTCGTGTCGGATTTGCAAGCGGGCCCCTCCCCTCCCCAATGGGGTATCGAAAAATCGCGTGCCACACTTTTATATTGCGTAACTTTTGCTACCTTTTCGAGGGAGTGGCTTTGTCTTTCGATGCATTCGATTGAATTGCAGCACCGCCACTGCCCCACAGCCACTGCCACAGCGAATCAAATCGAAACAAGGAAAGCCACTCCACCTGCATAGTTCCTGCCCAGATGCCTGATGGCAGTCGACCATTAGTTTTAATTAGCTAGTGGCATCCGTGAATGTCTTTCTGCTAGATTACTCTCGGATGTGGCTCCCCAGCATCATAAACGAACTGAAACTCAGATAAAGCTTTGCCTTGAGCCAGAAATTGCATGCAAATCGACATAAAATTAATAAACTCGCAAATTGCATGCTTCCCCCACCGACTTACTCGTTCTTACTGGTCTTCTAATTAGCTGGAAACTTTTTACCCCACAGAGAACGTTGTGACAGCGAAAGTACGCGTATATCGGGAAATTTGTTAATTAAGACGGAGGGAACGGGCTGCCTGGTCAGGGTGACTGTCACTGTCTTTAGCTTTGATGGCGGACATTTGGGGAAGGCGAACAAAAGGAACGACCCCGACCGGAGGAGAACGATACAATCTTAATGAAGCGTTTCGACTCGGTTGCAGTGATTTCCAGGGGATAATAAAAAGGGGCACCAAGAAAAGAGTTAACCAAGTAGGGGTCTTGAGGGTAGCAAGGGCTTAAAAAGAAATTATTTAGTAGGAAGCGAAGTCACCATTAGGTTGATTATTAAAACGGTAAGTTTAGTAAGAGAGCTCCCAAGTAAAGGGAGAATTGATCAGAAATGTTACTTCAAAAAAAGTGACTCAATTCTTTACACTCAAACCTCACCAACACTAACCAACTTTCAATTATCTCAGCCTTGTCCAATCTCTCACGAATGACATTCACCAGAAGGACTTTGAGAGTGAGCAAGTTGAGGGTCCTAAGATGTATTTCTACGCCATAAAACAAAGCTAAGCGTTTGACGACCTTCGCTTTACGTGCTGCGAAAATGTTCAACAGCTGAAAGCCAAGAACATCCCCACCATCATCCCCCCTTCCCTCAGGCAAACGCATAAATTAAGTTGAGGAAGGAGCTGCAGGAACAGGAGCATTCATTGGCCTTAGTCCGACGGGGGACGACGTTCGGTGCATTTATCCTGCTTGACTTTCTGTTGTCAGTGGGGATGGGGGTGTCCTTTGCAGCATCAAGCATCCAATTTAATTGCAATTTTTCCGTTTCCCTGCAAGCAAGCAAAGACAAATAACCAAAGCTAATAGATCATGTCATCCTGTCAACAAGTTTCACCATTTAATTGCGCACATCAACAAAGGGCAACCGAGAACAGCTCAATTTGTTCAACAAAGTAGAAAATGTGCGGGAAATTGACTCAATGCTGGGCTCCTTTATATTGAGACATAAAAATTCCACAATCTGTTTTATTTATAGATTTAGAAATATTCTTGTTACCAACGCGGAAATACTTAAGTGGAATGATACAAAAATTCTAGTTTCTATTATTCATGGAACTTATTTTAGCTGAGAACCGATCTTCACTGATCTCCTTTGCGATAAATGAGCATTTTGCGGAAAGGCATCCAAGTGCCCGGCTAGCTCAGTCGGTAGAGCATGAGACTCTTAATCTCAGGGTCGTGGGTTCGAGCCCCACGTTGGGCGAAAACAAACTTTTTTGTAAAATTTGTTCTCTTGTTTTTGAACTGGAATCAATTTGTAATATGTTTATCTTTGTTGACGTACGCAAGTATACGTTAATATACATATGTACATAAATATATATACAATTAAATTTACAAATGGTTTAATAAAAACTAAAAAAAAAAGAATTTGCTGCGATCCTGCCAGGAGTCGAACCTGGAATCTTCTGATCCGTAGTCAGACGCGTTATCCATTGCGCCACAGGACCCGTTACTATTGGGGCGTCAAAATTCTGGTTTCCGATTTTGAAACAAATATGAAAAGAGCTTGGGGTTAAAGGTAACTTAACCCTATTGGAATATGGAATAATTATTTATAATAAAACTTGTTGGTGCTTTATCTATGTATGTATTTATCAAAAAAGAAAAAATATTTAACAGTCAGTGGTTTGATATAGTGTACAGAAATTTTGATTATCAATCCGTCTTAACTTGGGAGATTAAGATTCGCTTATAAAGAAAAATAAAAGATTTAATAATAAAATACATGAATACAAATTTGTATAAAAAAGATACTGCTGCGATCTTGCCAGGAGTCGAACCTGGAATCTTCTGATCCGTAGTCAGACGCGTTATCCATTGCGCCACAAGACCGGTTGTTAATTGTGGCAACTGAATACTCATTTCGGATATTGAAATAAATATGGAAAGGTTTTGGGATTCGACAAGATTGAACATGAAATAATTCTATGCATACATACATATGTACATTCTTATATAGAAAACATACATATGTATTTACACATATTTGGGATACCAATCTTTGAAGGTTATAATTTGCGTTTTTGAAAGACATTGAAAAGAAACCGACCCGTTGGCATTCTGATTCCCCTAGCCATGAATGAATGACCTTGTTCGCAATGAGAACCTTTTGTGCAGCATTGCCAAATGCAAATGCGAATCTGAATCTGAACGGGGCGCCATTCACAGAAATCATATTACGCATACGCCCCTCCCGACACACACACAGAATGCTGTAGCAATTTTTGATTTTATGTCAATTTCCCTGCACTCTTAAAGGGAATAGAATGGCAGGAATACAGCGATCTGTGTTTGCACATTTCGTTTGCTGCCCAGTACCAAAGGGACTCGTAAACACTTGGCCAACACGCACACCCAGACACACAGAGAGCGCAAAGAGCGCAAATAGGAAGGGGAAATGTGCATTGAGATTGAGTGGGGAAAAAAAGTTGGACCGAGGGTTCGGTTCAATCCTTGACCCGTCATAACGTCTCCCCCAGCTGACAGCAGAGTTAAATGAGATATGCTTTTACATTTTTTCGATAAATTTCTTGCACTTGCTCGGATCCGCAAGCATTTTGGGGGAGGGATAACATTATTAGCAAGAGAAAACTTTAACATAAAAATGGCAAACGGATTTGCGCAGAGCTTGAAATTGAGATTTACTGGGGAGCAATATTTATGGCAAACGCCAAACTGCAAAGTGCAACGAGGAAGGGGAAAGTCGAAAGAAAACCCAACGAAGCCAAACCAATTTGGACAAAGTGCTTAGTTATCCCAGATTCCGCTGCTTATCGGGTGACAGTGATGAATGCGAAAGGCAATTAGGAGCCAAGGGCGAAGAGCGCTATATAAGGACAGTGGCACTCACTATTGGCTTATACGAAACAAAGATGCGCTCCCTGTCTCTGATCTGTCTGCTGTTCGGCCTGGTCTGGGCCCAAACGACTCCGTCACCCGATGAAACTACACCCTCGGACATCCAGTTCTCTCCGTTCGCTGTCACCGATGGAAAGTACGCCTTGGGCACCTTTGCCAAGGTGAACTGGTACCAGGCCCAGGCCACCTGTGCCTCCTACGGCTACACCTTGGTCAGCATCAACACGGAGAACGATCAGCGGGCTTTGCGCAATTTCCTGTACACCCGCGCCCATTCGCAGCTTCAGCTGCTGAGCGAACCCTTGTGGACCTCGGGCACTGATCTGGCAAATCCAGACAACTGGATTTGGTTCAGCAACGGACGCACCTTCACCTACCGCAACTTCCAGAACGGTTTGTCCTACTATCCCAGCAACGGCAGTGACTGCCTGGGCGTCTATGCCATCACCGGTGCCTGGGTGAACGCGGATTGCCGGGAGCAGCGTTACTTCGTCTGCGAGAAACGTTGCCTGTTCGACGACATCAATTAGTGGCAATGAAAGGACTATGGGTCCAACTAATATCGGTGTTGGCTTATAAATACGCACATCAATAAAATATTCAGCAGCAAAACAGAATTTAACGATTTTTGAATTTTTCTCAATGCAGCTAAAGTTGCTTCACATCAGTCAGCTTTTGTTTGAGTCGAATTGAAAGCTTTTGCCGGAATCAAGTTTGCGGAAAACTTGCAATAAGCTTCGGAAGAGATTAGAAATTGTTGGAATTTTGCTGGTATATTTGAATTCTGTTCTTGAATCCTTTGCCACTCTTTCCCCTAGCTTATCAAATATTTCTCCATACATATTTTGTATCTGTTATCGGTTAAGATAATAGGTTAATATCTTTGTCTGGAATATGCTAGCTATAAGCAAACAAAAATTTATATAAGCAAACTCTTTGAATTTTAATCCTTTTTCTTGAACCCCTTGAGAAAATATCAATCCTATACTTTTAGTACTCAAATTCAATTCTAAACATATATTTGATTGTTGATATTAGTGCCATTCAATAGACAAATATTCTCGCATATGAAATTGAACTTAAGATTGCAGGCTGCACTATGCCACATTGTGTCCAGGCCCAGCACAAGGCAAGCATCGGCGCCATTCCTATCCGAGCGGGGCTCTTTCTTTCCCCAGAGACCATACGTCATGGGTAGTCCGCTGCTCAGCCAGGTCCATGAGGAGTTGCCTTCCACAAGATTTGTGGCGCCCAACCAGAAGCGTTTATCGCCCAAAACAGAATCTAAGAAAATGGATTAAGTTAAAGGGTTTTCCTTTGGGGGCTACCGATTTCCTTACTGCTTCGATTGACACGCTGCAGCATTAGCAAGTGCTGATCCGGATTATTCACAGTGGCTAGAACGGCACCGACGCTGTTGCAAATGTGATGGGCCTCGAACCAGTTGACCTGCAGATACCAAAAAGATGCCCATAAATAGCTGGAAACTTTTGCTTAGTTTGAACTAATCTTACCTTGGCAAATGACGCCACGGAATAGTGTTCATTGCATTGAATTAAAGGATTACAATCCGAACCGAATATCAACGCCAAATTGGTGTTGTTGGTGGCCACGGTCGCGCCACAGATGATGAGCAATATGAAAAGCATTTTGAACAGAGGTCTGCCTACCCTAGGGGAGCACCCTTATATATAGTCTGTGCGATAAGAATGCCATCAGAAGTCGCTCAAAAAGCCATTACTAAACCAAAACTTTGCTCGTAATTACTCGAATTTCTAGGAAAATATAAAATTTTTATTCAATAGCAAAAAAATTGTAAACGCTTTACAAACTTGTCCCCAGATTTCTTAATATTCAATACAGACTAAGCATATCATCAGGCCTAGGTGTGTGTTTGTGTTTGTGTGTGTGTGAACGGCCCCCTAACAATTAATAGTTATTAAATATTCAGCGTTGCTTTTGCACTATACAAAACATACATCATATATCATCATCATTATCATCTTTACAATAATTATATTTATATATTTATCATCATTGAACACTAAAGCTAGAAATTAATTTAAATAAACACTGATATGGGGGAAGGAACCCTAAGTCTGACTCAAGTAACATTGTAGACATAATGCTAGATATAGTATTTTGTGTGTGTAGATGGTACCTTAAGTTGTGTGAATTGGGAGCTCCTTTTATGTTTGTTTTTTTTTTTTTTTTTTGCTGAATGAAAGAAATGTTTTTGCATAAATAAATCGATCCGTAATGAGCTATAAAATTTCGATTGGGTTCACACTGGTGGAACAAGAGTTGCGTTGTGGTTTACTCTTTTGTGGCAGTGTGGACCGAAGTAGGGGGCGGGGGGCAAGCTACAGAATGAAGACAAAATCGGTTGAGAGGATTACATTACGTACAGCACCACCTGCTAGTGTACGAGTAGTTTCATTTAAAGATCGCCTAACTTAATTAGTTTATCATGTTGACAAGACAATTTGCTCTGCTGGTCCATCTCTCTACACTGATTGATTCCTGTCTCCAACACATCTCCACCAAGCGAACATCTCTGCATGGACATCCTCGCTTAGTGCCCATTCCCTGGGGATCCTTCCTTAGTGGTAGTAATCCCCATATTGGTAAGTGGGTGGCTGTTTTGCGGCCCTGCCGTTCTTGTGTGGCTGGTAGAGATTGTGATGGGAGGACGAGCGATAGGCGAAGCTGGGCGGGGCAGTCTCTGGTTGGCGCTGGGCTGGGGATTGAGTGCGTCGCGCCCGACGCTCCTCGATATTCGCCGGCCAGCGCTGGTGATGGCGCGTCGAGTCCTCCGAGGAGCGTCGCCGGTGGTACCTTTTGGCCGAGGATGTGTTCCCCACTGGTGGCGATGCCAGTGTCGGGCTGTCCCGTCCCGGCTGCTGGCGATAGCTGCCCTCGTCGCCGCTGCCCCCGCTCAGCACTCGATCCTGGGCATACTGGCGCCGCAGTCGCTCATCCACGGACGAGTTGGGTGTGCCGGTGCCGGGGCCGGTGCCGGTGCCGGTGCCCTGCATGTCGATGATGTCCCCGTGGGAGTTACGACGCGCCCGCTGCATGTCCAGGTCGTAGTTCTCGTAGGGATTGCGTCGCTGCCGGCCGCGCTGCTGTTCGTGGGCGTCCAGCCGCTGGCGCCACTCGGCCGCCGACACCTGTTGGCCGTAGAGATCGGGCTGCGCCTGGAACTGGGCCTGGACATGGCCAGCGATGATGCTGGCATTGGGGCCGTAGATATTCTGGTAGGAGGAGCGACGCCAACCCTCTTCGTAGCGGCGGCGTGGATCCTGTGCAGCCTCCTCCTCGGCGGCGGCATTGGCCAACTGCTGGCGGCGCTGCGATCGACTGGAACTGCTCTCCGACGAGTCCTCGCCAGAGGTGCCCAGGCCCTGGTCCTTCTCGTCCACGCCATAGGCCTTGTAGGGTGCTCCGAGGAAGCCCTTGGAGCCGTACGGTCCGTTGATGCCCATGGTGGGGTACTGCATGTAGTAAGACTGGTTGAAGGGCTTCTCCGGCTTCCGCTCGTCCAGGCTGTCGTCGACATCATCGTCGCTGCCATCGTCCTGACCCGTCCAGGTCAGGCAGGAGCCGGGTCCGAAGAGGGAGAGCAGCACAGGCAGCAGGAACAGGCCGTGCATGGCGCCGAAGAAGACCACCAGGAAGACCATTTTGAAGAAGACCAGGAAGATGTAGCTCTGGGCCAGCAGCAGGGCCACAATGCCCAGAATCGTCGAGCTGGAGCCCTGAATGATGGGCAGGCCCAGAGAGTGGAGGGCCTCGCGGACACGGGCCTTGGGACTGCGCTTCTTCGAGGACATGTAGGTGTAGCAAATGTGGGCGGTGAAGTCCACCGAAAAGCCAATGCACATGATCAGGTTGATCATCGAAATGCTGTCCAGATTGACGTCCCACAGGGCCATGTAGCCGGCGACGCCCAACTCAATGGAGATGACGGAGAAAGCCACCCACAGCGAGCAGAGGATGTTCGGTATGAAGATGAACGAGATGATCATCATGATCAGCGCTCCAATGACCATGGCCTGCAGCGAGACGGGACGCACCAGCTCGAACTGATCGAAGAACACGAAGTAGGGATGGAAGATCGAGGCATTCAGCGGCGAGTCTCGGCAGATCTTGCGCAGATCCCGCACCATTTCCTTCTCGTGATTGGTGTCCGTAATGTTGACGGCCTGTATCAGGAATCGCGAGGCAATGATCTGCGTATCGTCGTCGTTGAAGCGCACGTCCAGCGAGAAGGGATTGCCGGGGAAGAGCCAGTGCTCTTTGACCGCATCGATGAAGGATTGCTCATCATCGATGGTGGCATTCAGCAGCTCGTTGTTGCGCTCCAGGAAGGATAGGAAGGAGCGCAGCCAGGACTCGGTGTAGCGCTTGGACGTCACGTACGAGGTGTGCTCCAATGTGCTCGTCAGATTCTCCACCTGCTCCTGCACCAACGGATCCGAGTAGTTCAATGGTCCGGCAATGATCACCTGCAACGAAATGACAGATCAGATAACTGATCACACACTGAGCGATCATAGAGATCTTGGGACTCGTCACTCACCTGCATGCGGTAGGGAAACTCTCGGTAGTAATCGTCCTCACGGTCGAAGAACTCCACGGAGTAGGAGTCCGCGCGGGACAGCTTACGCCGCTCGAGACCCTCCTTGATCTGGGTGATGCCGTAGCAGGCGCCCACCAGATAGCTGGCAAAGGCCAGGATGATGATAATCTTGCACCATTTGTTGTTAATGACGGCGGACATTTTGTCCTTGAAGAAAGCCATCAGCATGTGATCCTTGTTGTCGATGGGATTGTCGGGATCCGCGCTATCGATGCCGCCCGCCATGATCGCCTTGTAGAGGAAGTTGCGTTTCTCTGTGGCAAAGTGGATGAGACAGACAGACAGAAAGCAAAGAAGTGTTAAGAGCTGCGCGCTAAGACAAGTTCCCATTGACCTCAATTTTCAGTCAGCAATCGCTGTGATACGGCGACTAGTCTAGTTTGTCACGATCAAGTTCATGTTGCAGTTGCAGCTGCAGCTCCACCATCGCCAAGCCGGTTCCACACTTCAATGTGTGGCCAAATTGGACTTTGTAGCCCCCCATGCAGCCGTGCAACCCGAACATCAATCGATACAAAAGCGAAACAAAAGCACAAGGCACCATTCGATTGGGCAGTTCACTCACCTTTAATAGCCACCGACATCGGCTGGACGCGGCAGCCGAATATGGAATGCAAATTCTTGCGCTCCCTGTACCCCGAGATGGCCATGCAGGCGGCAAAGAAGGTGATGTGCCACAGGAACGTGAAGCAGACGGCAAAGACCGAATAGGTGCAGAATATCCTCACCGAGCGGAACGGACTGATGATGCCAATCAGAAACGAAATGAAGTCAGTGACCGAGGTGATTGTGATGGACACGGCCGCCTCGGACATCATGTGTCCCATGCGCTCGGCCACCGGCATCTTGGCCTTTGTCCGCCGCCAGCCAGCCAACATCACAAATGTGTCATCAATGCCAATGCCTGTGGGGGGAAATTGGTTAAAGATTTGGCTCAGAGAGTGGAAGAGATTATTGGTTTATCGCCTACTCACCAATCATGAGGAAGGGGGCTGCCAGATTGATGCCAATGAACTCGATGCCGCAGTACATGGCCAGGCCAAAGGCGGCCAGGGTCGCCATAATAGCCGAAACATTGCCCATCAGTCCCAGGAAGGGCTTGGATCGCACAGCATCCCCCATCATGCAGGTAATGATGCTGAAGAGACCCATCAGCAGGAATGTCGAACTGAAATAGGGCACCACTGTCTGTGTGTTCTTCTCCAGCTCGTGGTCCAGGGTGCGTGAGGCGAAATATGACACAGAGATGTGCTTGAACTGTCCAGACTCCTCAGCATTTCCCACCACTCGCAGGAAGGTCTCCTCCCATTCGGCGCCTCTGCAACACAAAAATAAATACATTAATATCCGCATGGAGAACTGCTGCAGCTGCTGCTCCACTCACTTGGCATCCTGTCGCTTGTTGTCGGCGGTCACAAAGTACACCAGCTGTATGGCTGGCACACTGATCACAACGTTGTCCTCCGTTAGCTTTGTGCCGCCAAAGAAAACGGGAAAGAGATGCGCATCCCAGGTGACGGGATTGAACATGAATGGAAACGTCAGATTCAGCTGTCCCGCCTCCAACTAAAGCAAAAATCAGACGGTAATTATATAGAGTTCAATGGGCGACTGATTCCCCTTGTACTCACATCATCCATCAGCGCATCCAGGTTGAGGATATCATTCTCGAAGCACTCGTTCTCCCAGCGCGCACAAGTATCCTTGTAGGTGAAGGTATCCCCATCGTAGTTGCTCGTGGCATTCTGTATGAGATTGTCCAGCGTTCTCAGCTCCTGGAAGACCTCGCGCCGTATCATATCGTCATCGCCATCCTTCGTTATCACTATGACCCGCCCGAAGCGACCTGTAAGATGGAAATATAATGGATTAGCCATGGTCATATATAGTTTGTGGGCTTGGGCTTGGACTCGCAGTTAGGCCCGAAGGCTGCTGCTCTGCCACACGCTGATACGTGACAATAATTTCAATTTAATTTGAATTGAATTTCATTCAATTCTGTCTTTATTTTACTTGATTATTTCGTTTGTGTTTGCCCGTATACCTCGCCTCGCCACTTGATATTGGCCGATTGTTCCAATCGTTATTTGTATTTAATGCGCCATAACAAATGCAGCCTCGTGGACTTGCGTCAGTGATTATATTGTCTGTGGATTGTCTGTGTGTAGCTGTGAATGATCTACACATGTCTACACTAAATCCTTATAGATACATCGAAGAAGTATCCGCGTAGCTACTGGGAAACGTGCCACATTCCACGTAGCGGTAGCAAAACTCTAGCCCAAAGATGCGAACAAGTTTTCAGATGTGAACCCTTAATGGATTAATACTTTATATAGTTTTCAATCATCTAGAGTGTTCAATGCTTCGTTTTCCTATACGAAAATATCTTGGTTTATTTCCCATTTATGAATGAAGCAAAAATTTGCTGCCATGAGCAAACCATTCACGTCCCCATGAAAAGATTTATTTATACGAATGAAAAAAAAAATAATATGAAAACACTCGAATAAACGAGAGTCTTCGCCATCTATCAAACAAATTGAGGAACTAAGGAGGACGGCAAGTGTCTCGTTGACAAGCGAAAAAAACACAATTTTCTCAACGACCCAAACAGGAAAACGACACCGAGCCGGATATCCTACCTATCCAGACAATACGATTAACAAACAAAAAAAAACGAAAAGATAAGATAAATATATATTAGATGGCGGTACACTTGGAAATGTTTATCGGGCAAATCAATTTTTATATAACATTTAGGCGGCTCAACAAAGCACACAAAAAATGCAACAATTTAAACATATTTTTGTTGGTCTCCTTTTGTTATGTTGTTGCGCTCCAAAGTCGGGGAAAGTGGCTCTCGGTGAGCATCAAGCAGCAAGCAGTTTTGTTTTGCTATTTGCTATTTGCAATCTTGAGGCACATTCGGTTAGCTGCGGCCAAAAGTGCAATCGTGGTGAGGCAAAGCACAGCTCAGCTCGGCGCATTGGTGGCTAACTGGTCGTAACCGACTAAATGCGGTCTAGATAATACCGTTGAGAGACTCTGGCTTGGATCTGGCTTGGATCTCTTGTGGTTTGTGGCCTCCACACACTCGGCAAGTTTCTTCTCTACCACTGCCAGTCGATTGTCAAAACCAAAGTTCAATGATGAGGCGGCGAATGGAAGCTGCTGAAGTATTCAATGGATATGTGTACTCGTACCATCTTGAATTTGCTTTGCAGTTTACCCATCTCCACGTACTCGAAAAGATGTCAGATCTACATACACACGCACACACACGCATACATATGTAGATGGAGAACTCATGGAGCTGCTCGTTGCACATCGAGTGCAGTCCAACAGAATGAGGTTAATTATTTCGCAAGAATAATTGCAAATGCTCGTTCGAAGCGAAATTTTCAGCTCAGCCATAAAACCAGATCAGAAAGCATTCGCTTTACTCTATGATGCATTTGTTTCTTTTTTTTATGAGGTTTTCACATTAAAGCGAAGCTCATTTTGCTTGGAGCACACGTTTCTAGCATTTTACACTCGTTTCACCCATTTTCCTCCTGTGTTTGGTTTGCAAGTGAAATATTAATGCCAAATTATGCAAATGGCGAACTGAGTCGAAAGAGAAACAACTGTACCTGTGGCTAAACATTGAGCAAACATTCAGTGTACGTTAACTAACGCAACCGCCAATTGGTTATGGCCCACACGGATACCCCTCACCTGAGGAACGAGTGCACCCATCCCAGCCCATCACTCCCTCGCACACTTGACTTGCAGTCAAACCGAATGCAAACACAAACAATATTTTTGTTTAGCTTATATAACAGTCTGTACAAACTCTGTTATATTTGCGCTTTGGCTTGTGGCAGTCCACCTCAAAAATTGTCTTAGTAGCTTTACTATCGAGGATGTTGAGAGTCGCTTGTCAGATTTATGTTTTTTCCTATAAAGTTAGAACAGACCTAGGATCCGAATGCATCGTAAGTGCATCCCATATGGTCTCTGTAGCCCCCAGTACCCCAGTAGCCCCGTGGTTCGATTCCTGGCATGGGCAACTCTATTTTTTTTTTAATCTAATCTTATATTTTATATTTTTCCCCAAATTTTTTCTTGGTTTCACTTTGGTTTGGATTCTGCAACTGCTTTGGCTATTGTGGCACAATGTCATTTGGCAATTATGCGGCTTTTTGTTGTAGTTTCTTTTTGTTGTAGCTATTATTATTATTAATGTTTTCTGCTGATTGCCATGATTGTTGTTGGCGGCTTTGCCTAATAAACCATTTAGCGCAGTTAATAGTCTGTAAAAGACTAGTTCAAGACCCCAATAAAAAAAAGGTATTGTGTCTCTATTCCCGCCGAGTGCTGAAACTATTTATTGCACACGAGAGAGCACAAAGTCGGAGGAGGAGCAGAGGAGAGTACTGCGAGTACTGGTGACATCCGTCAAGGTGCAAAAAATGTGGCAACATTTAATTGGAAGACGGCAACGTCAGAGACAAACTCAACAAACTAAATGGGCGCCACCGGAGCCCATTTCACTTGCCCAATGTTTGCCATAATTGTCATCATACCCACACGATTCATAGCTTATAATATGTACAATGTATATTTGATGTTACTTACCGGGCCTCGTAATGCGTCCGACATTGAAGCGATGCGTATAATTCACTTTGAAATATTGCTCAACAATGGCACGTTCAGTCTTGCCCTCCCCCGCAATTGGCGAGAATAGATATTCGGGATCGATTTGATACTTCAGCTGTTGATAGCTATCAGATCACATACAAATCTGATTAGTTAAGATATCCCATACGATTTAGTTGGTATCACTTACCCCGTCATGCAGAGCAGGGTCAACAGCACTGGTATGATGATGAAATATCCAGGATTATTAGCAATCTTGATGCCCAGATGGTAGAACGATTTGTTGAGTGTCTTATCGACACACGATATGCCGCAAGTCATCTGAAAAGAGCGCACAAAAGCCAAAGATAATGTTAGCTTGAACTGCGAACAATGTTCTACAATGGGGGGATCCATTAGCTAATATCACATTAGAGCTCGCCTCTCCTCTCCTCACCTATCCTCTTCGTCTGTATCGCGTGCATGTCGTCGTCGAGCTCTAATGCGATTTGTCCGGCGAAGGTGAAAAGACAACAGATCTTGGAGCTATTACGAGTGCTGCTCGTATACATATGTACATATATCTAGATACATATGTACATCTGGATTCGTATGTTCGTTGCCGTGTCTATTTGGCTTTGTTCATCGACACCTTCAACTTAAACTTTAGACACGCATTGTTTTTGAGCTGCCTCACTTGAATCTCGACAAAATGCCCTTGTTCATCTCAGCTTCTCTTCACAAAAAATAACTAAGCACAAGTGATCAACAATAACGAGGAAACCCCTAACAACGTTCATTGACATGCTTATAGAAGTCAAGTACGCAGCGATAGCATTTTATCACACTTATAAATGTTGTTTTTTTTAACACAAAAATCAATAAAAGCTGAAAAATATTGGGCAAAAATTTAAATCCGCCCCCGGGTGGACTCGAACCACCAACCTTTCGGTTAACAGCCGAACGCGCTAACCAATTGCGCCACGGAGGCCATGCAAACAGCGAAAAATCAGCGCAAATTATTTCTGTTTCATCATACTAACACATCAGATTAAGAATACGCACCGCACCCCGAAATAAGTTATAATGCTTAAGCAGTCTGTAATTTATAAGAAGGGTCCCCAGCAGCAGCAGCAGAGCGAAGGTAGAATTACGTCAATCGCCGGCAGAGCAACAACTGCCTCCGTGGCGCAATTGGTTAGCGCGTTCGGCTGTTAACCGAAAGGTTGGTGGTTCGAGTCCACCCGGGGGCGGCACAACTTTTTACGTCTTCTTTTGCATTTTCTTTCTTTTTTTAAACCCTGCAAAAAAAATTGTTACGATTAACGATTTTCTCGATCCTACAGATAGAGAATGTCTTGAGCAACAAATAGACGCAACATATCCAAATATCAGTCACGAAAAATTATTTTGAAATTTGTTATCTTCTTTCCGTATATTTCTTTTGTTGTTCCTGTCTGTGCCTCTACTAATTGCCTTGTCAAACAGTTCCTTGTTCACTGCCCTAAGCCACACACATGTGTTTGTGAATAATTCTACGTATATTTCGTACATTCCAGCTGCGCAGTACGTTTGGGCCATTTGTCATGCCGAACACAGATTGTCACCCACTAATTTGGGCGCATAGGCATTATAAATGAATGTTCGGTTGGATCCCGTACTGAGCATGAATAGAACATTAGCTTTGGCATTTGCTCAGACAATGAATGACAGCAACACTGGTGTATAAGGAAATCTCTATCAACAAAATGGCGCCTGAAGCTGCAGGTGCAGAGGTGAAGGTGTCATCTCGTGTCAAATTGCTCTTGAAATCTTTCGTGTCCGAGCATTATTCGGTCTGGTGGATTGCATGCTAGGCGACCAGCCGAAAAATTCAATTTGCAAGCAGCCAAAACACGTTAACTTGGAGCCCAGTTTACTTTCCATTTTTTCTGCTTCTTCGTTTCGGGTTCAACGACAACTGACGCTGCACTTTTACTAAATCGTTACAATTGTATTTATGTATATATCGTAGCACTCGTGGATGTCTGCGTGTGTGTTTGTGTGGGTATGCAAACACTGAGATTACAACATGGCTAAGTCGAGCACTTCAAATTGGGCTTAAGCCGAGCTCTGGCCTGCCCCCTTGGTCGCCCCTCGCCAAATTGAGTCGCACCGTTGCCTCAAGGTTACAGCGACTCCAATTTCAACTCCAACTCTGACTTCAGCTTCCCAAAAACGGTGTGGTGTTGACTCTGGTCTATCTGGTGACATAACGGTTCATTGTGTCAATGTGATTTAATCAACAGCAAAGAAAGGCCACGCCAGAAAGGCGGCTGAAACTCTAGATAACCGGTAGGCAATGCCGTTGATAAATAATAAATTATGCCCCCCTTTTGGGGCCTTAGCAATCATTTTCTCATTCATTTAATCAGCTTGCCATTACCACTCCACTCCACTCCTCTAATCACATATCTTATTATCAATTAGTGGGAGCCACCACCCTTTTGCAGTTATGCAAAGCAAAAACAAATTAAAGCTAAAAATAAATATATTTTACAATATTGTTAGGCTCTCTCATAGCGAATGGCTTTGGCTTCTGTGCCCCGATTCGGTTCAAAATTCATTAATGAACTTTACACATTCATGTCGCAAGTTCGCCTCCAAGTCCACACTCATCAACGCTTCCAGTTTTCATAATCATTATATCTGTGGGCCCCCCTGCCCACCTTTTTCATATCTCTAGCCGAAACATTTTGACGTCAGTTACGTGCTCTCAAAATGCATTATCATTTCTTTGTGATCCCCATGCCAGTAGTTGCTATGACTAAAGCGATTTTCTGTGTGGGGCAACATTTGAGCCCCGTAGCGAAACTGAAATCACAACTTTGATGTCCGATCGACACCTGACTCACAGCTCAAGTGAGCTCCGGAACCCCAAGCCCAGCCGCCTTGAGGAGCCGCGAAATGCGTGCCAAGAAAACTGAGTTCCCTCCCAAAAAACTGTCAGCCAGAGACCATCCGAAAATACGTATTGTTTTTTTTTCGGCTTAGATTTTTGCATAATTTGTAGGTCAAAACGGTTTGATTCATGGCGGATTCTTTTGCTTTTTGCTAACCCCATTTCTCGTTTATATATCTACATACATATATCTTTCATTAATGTTTAAGTAAATGCGAATGTTTAGTCGGGGCACTGGGGATTGGAATGCGTTTCAAAAGCTTTTACGTTTTTTGGCTTATTTTTTTTTGTTTTGGGTTGAGAAAGTTTTTGGCTTGACCAAAAATGAGTTTGTCGCTTCAGTCTTTTGTTTTCTTGTTGTTTTTACTTTCGGTGTCGAGCAATTTGACGTTTTATTGTTTGTGGGTTTATTGTTAATGGTTTTTATGCTTCTTTTTCTAAAAATTGATTTCTTTTTGACAGAGTTTTGAGTTGTTTGTTTTGGGGTCAAGTAAAGGTAGAACTTCAGTAGAATCCTACACTTCATTCAATCCTGGATCTGGTCTGTTCATCTGCTGCTATTGCTGGGATTTTATGGTGTCTTCCCCTCACTTTTCGATACCAGTTCTTGGGGGTGTTTTTATTATTTTTTTTTGCAAACTTGCTGGTACATTTTCATCATCACCTTAATCGCTGTTCGCTTACATAACGGCCGGTCTTGTCCAGTCCCGGCGAGCTTTAGATGTTTGCCAGCCTTAAACAATTTATATAATGTATATTTACCAGAAGAAAAAAAAGAAGACGAAGAGGAGAAAAACGAGGCAGCGCAAAAATTGATTGCGAGGCGAGCAAAACGAATGCAAACATTTTGGTCAGTTTTTCTTTCTGGCCAAGTCAACAACTTTCACTTTTGGTGCGTGGCGGCTTGCGGTTATTGTTGTCGATATTTGCCAACAAATTACAAAATTAATATTAATTAATATTTAAATATATTTCTGGAATGTTTTTTCGAAATATTTTTGCTGTTTTACCTTTGGCTGTTTTGGCTTAACCGAAATTTGGGTCAAGTCATTGAAGTAGAATACAAGAAACGATCGACGATCGACGTTTGATGATGACCTTAGCACGTGGGCGTGACATATGGCCAGAGATTGAACATTTTTGTTATTATAATAATTATTATTGTCAAACCGACTTAAGCTGATTCAGATTTGTATATATACATAAATATGTATGTATATACATATGTGTGTCTTTTTGGCAACAGTAAAAAGGTCTCCTACAATTGAAATTGGTTGCCACACAACTGTTTGCAATGAATTTTAATTAGTTTGGCTTCGAGGCTAACAAATTAACATTGAGGGCCTTAACTGTGTGTGTGTGCTTTTTTTTTTTTGTATTTTCTCTATACATTTATCTTTATTTTTGGGGTGGGGGGGGGTAGTACAATTTGGGTAGGGTGCTGGGGCAGGTTCTGCCTCGAGCCAGAAGCCAAGACAAAAATTCACTTTCTACTTTTTCTGCGCCTCTTTGATGGACTGGATTGAGGGGAATGAATGCTTAAAAGGGGACTGTGGCGCATGCATGCGTTTAGCCTGGAACTGGGTCACACACACACATACGCACAAAGCACTCTCACACAGATACTGTTCGTCTTTTTTGATTTGTTTGCCTGCTGCATTAATTAACCATTCACCAGAAGAAAACATTTTGATTTGGGATTTATTGGGTCTCTGACTTAGTCACAGATCTGTGGGTCAGTGGAGCAGTATCTTAATCTGATTACATTCATTAAATGCAGCTTAAAAACCCATTGAGCGGAAATTGACTGTGTAAAGATTAGTTGTGAGGGTTTCTGGTAGTTCCGGGGGATCGTTTATAATGATAAGAAAGAGCTAAGGTAGGGTAAGGCCTCCCAGTAGAGCTGGGCATTTATCTCACTTGCCATGATCATTCATGCCTCAACTGGCTTAGCCATCTATCACATCACATTTGTCAGATAAATCATTATGCATTTGATGAGTCAATGAATCTGCCAACTTGAGCTTTGACAGTTCTTAGCCCAAAGGGTAGCCGTGGAATCTCTCCTCATGTGTGTAACTTTCCAAAGCGGCTTTTAAGTGAGCATCATATATTATAATAGAACCAATCTTGGTCTTCTGCAATCTTAATACGTCGCTCCATGAGAGTTAATTGAGCGAAACGAAAACGTTTCCATAACTTGCACTTTCCACATCACTTTTTATTGCTTTGGATTCACTTTCCTTGGGAAATTAGTTAATTATGACAAAGTTTTTCCTGTCGGGTTAATAAATCAACCAATTGACACAGAGATGACAGCAAAAAAAAAAAACACAAACTAAACTATAGAAGAGGAAAAAATGGATAGTAAACTCTCTCAAGAGCGCAACGCGACAAAGAAATGGTGGAGAAAGACACAAAGAAAGAAAAAGAAAGTGCAATGCTGATCACATATCATTAAATGGTGGTATGGTATGGTATGGTATGGGGTTTATGTGTGAGCTCAAAGCGGAGATCTTCTGGGCCCACAGAGCGGGGAAGAGAGGAGCAGCATTAGACACTTTTCCTTTCAGCTTGCACGCGACCGTCGACAGTCCCCCCCAACAAAGGCCTCGTATTTCGGTTTCAGGTTCGGTCGGATTCGCTTCCAGTTCCACTTTAAAGCCATTGAATTTTCACAACATTTCGAGCCTTGGCTGTGAATGATTTGTGCAAACATCAATTATAGGGTTTAGCTGAATTTTTTTTAGCAAATTATTAGCTGCTTGGGGAGTTGCTAATTGAGGGCTGTGATTGATTAATTGAGCCATAAAACCGATCCGAAGGTAATCGATCTCCGCGTATACATATGTATGTCTATGGCAGATCTTGAGCAATTTTCCCAAATAAAGAAAACCAGTTAAATGTGGTGCCAGGCTACCTGCTGTGCAGTCCCATTCAAAACTGATTTGGTGAAGGGTGGAAAAGCCAAACAAAAGGAAGATCCATCTCTACCTGTTGCTCAGTGCCCTTTGCACAACTGTACGTTTCTTATAATTTTCGAGGGGCTGCGGCCTTGAACATAATTGGAGTTAACATATGAAAATTGATCAGCCGAGTGGTCCGACATTCAACCGGTTTGGATTTCGGATTTCGGCAAATTTCACTTGAACTTTCATTAACTTTTGGACTGTGCAGCAGCACTCCCTGCCGCGGTTATGTTTGCCGGATGGCGCAGACCCCAAAGTCAGGTCCAAAATCTGGCAAACCGGATCATTCCAGACCGGGGTGTTCAACGGGTGTTTTTTATGTAATCGGTTTTTACTTGGAGCTTGTGTCCAAAAAACTGAAGCACACATGTTGTATGCATATGGGGAGAAACAAAATCCACAAAATCCATTTCTGTGTGATGGTGGTGTGGTGTGACGTTTGCCTATTGACCAATCTTCGCTTCGTATATTTTCCTTGAACAATTTCCACTTAATTTGATTCGAGTATGGCAGGTATCTTTTTCTGGTTTCAGTTTCTACACCACACACAGGTGGGTTTTTTGGTTTTCTGGTGTAATTGTAACCGTAGCCCGGTCCCAATTTTGCCAGTGTGTTTGCCTTAATTTACCTGTCAAAAGTTTTCAGTTTCTTTGAAAACTGCTCGTGTTTGGGGGCTTTTGCCAATGAAAGAGTTGAGGCAAAGTTGGACTTGGACCGGCCCCAAGTGGCAGATTGTTGTTGCAGTTGCAATTGCAGTGGCAGCTCGCAAAAACACATTCGTTCAGTTTTATTGCCATTACTCAGAAATCCCATTAGGTCGCATCAGTTTAAATTCTAACTTAAATTACCCTTGGAATATTATTTATATTGAGTAGAATGTTTTTGTTTTTTTGGTCAAATTATTTCCGCTAGTCACTTGTGAATTTTTTCTGTTCGGTTTCGGTTTCGGTTTCAGTTTTTTTTTTTGTATTTCCAAGAAAAGTTTTTGTCTAATGCGAAGAATTACGGACATCACTTTATTTCTATTAGGGGTTCATTATTTGTACACCGAGAAAAATCAGTGATGTTTCATAGAGATTTCATCTATATTTTCTCAGTGTGTCTGTTCCTTAATACGCATTTTCCAGCCACACATAGCGATACGCAATTGTGACCCAGACAACACAAATTTCATCCCCTTGAACAGTCAGTCGTCCAACCCTCCGCTCATAGGATAACCCATTGTATTGCGTATGTCCCCCACTCATCAGGAAGCTTCCAGAGAGATAGAGAGAGAGGGAGAGATGTGCGATAGTCGAAATTATCTTCACTTGCACTTACCTTTTAGCTTTAATATTTCTCGCTTAATCGGTTCGTTTCGTATCCAAGATTTGTTTTTTCCTCTGAGTAGTATATAATATACCCAAAAGTATAATATGCTGTATATTTAATATATATTTTTTTACTTTTCCAGCAGTTATCTGTGTGTTGGCAGCCTTTCGCCAAAAACGAATGCTGGTCGCAAAAAATTTCTTAATAATATTGAAGCAATTGCACACTTTTCACACACTTTGCACTGATTTGGCCCATCGTACGTTTCACTTTGTCGACTTGGCTTGGGGTTTTTTTTTTGTTGGTGGGGCAGGGAACGGGGGCACGGAGCGAGCACGAAACGGTCGACCGCTGGCTATGAGACCGTCTCACGGACTGACTCTAACGCTGGCATGGGTCTGTCCGCGTAGCAGATCAGATCAGCGGTCTTACGTTTTTGCGGGGGAGCGCTTACGTTTCGGGGGCTGCACAATTTCAATTTCAGTGACCGTTAGCGCGTCGTTGTTTTTCGTTGTTTGCGTCTTTTGTCCCCTAGTTGATTGCCTTTGATTGGGGGTATGGGACACTCTCTGATGTTGCGGGGCCTACGGCTATTGTTGGCCACTGATTCGACTCTGCTCTCAATAGTGGGCGCCTTCCACCGAATGAAAGAAATCAAGAAAGAAAGTTGCGCGCACACAACCGCCACGCACCACGTATCGGAATGGAATGAAGTCTCTTTACGTGCAGGTTGGCTCTTGTACGTTCTCCCTCTCTCTCTGTCAATCTCTCTCTACACGGGATGCACGTGATAGCGACCGACTCAGCGCGCTCAATGCGCTCTCTGCTGGCTGTGATACCTGAATCCTCTCCTTCTCTCTCTCTCTCTCTCTTTCACCTGTTGGCCTGGGCTCTTCCACTGCACCGCACACACCGGTTTGCAGCGGTATGCGCCGTGTGTGTGTGTTTTTTTTTATTTCGGGAAAAATCTTTCTTCTTTGACTCATTTCTCGCCTTTCCTTCGGTTACCTGTTTCTATATATACAGGTGTGCCATCCACCGCCAGCCACAGCTGTTGCTGCCACAGTCTGAAGGTCGCATTTTCGCTCATTAATCGCCACTTTCTTCTGCGCCTGCGCGCAAGGTTTTTATGGGAATTACCATCGGCGGGTGTTCATTTGAATTTCGGCAGGGTTTTTATGACTGGCAGCGTCGATTTCGTTGGAAGTATCCGCAACACCAAGTGTTTGAGTTTATGGCATGATGTTTGCCTAGGCCAGGCGCTGCACTGCGATGGAAAGTAAGCCATTTTTGATGTTGAAAACTGAACCATCAGTGGGGTATTGATGGGGTTTTCTTCTGATAAATCATATAAGGCAATAAGCACTATATTTTAAAATAATTTTTGAGGCATCCACTTGACTCTGAAGTGCTCTGAATGGCAAATAAAAGTAAAGCCTAATTTTAGTAGTGCTTAACAGGACCCCTCCTCCAATCAACTTCAACCCATTTCTTATCGCATTAGCGCTATCCCCACGCTTTCCATATGAGGACTCATTATAGTAGAAATTCTTCCCACACTTTTACCCAAACAAAAGACAGGCTTCCGCATCAAGACAGACACAACAGGCACGACAGACACAACAGACAGACAGACATATATATCCCCAGGGCAATCGCACGACACTCTAGAAGAAATGTCAGTGTCGTGCGTCACTTTGCATTAAAAAATAAAAAAAAGAAATTTGCAAAAACTATGCGCCATAAATATAATTGGCCAAATAAAGGCGACTAAATCATTTTCCCCCAAGAATTTCAAAATCACACAAACAAAACAACGAGAAGGAACGTGTGAGTTGCTTCTTTGGACGCGACTCTACTTTTATACCCGTACTCAGTCAGTATATAAATTTGTGAGCTTATGATTTATGTAGAATTATAAAAAACTTTACATTTAAAATTTTTTTGCTACATCTGTTATCTACATCTACAATGTCGCTCCCACATATAAAATGTAAATTATACATACACAATGTAGATTCTACGTCTTCTCCGCAAAAGTCGCGCACTGCACAGGGCAGAGTGTGTGCGAGCGAGAAAGAGAATGAGTAGCGGGTCTCTTGCTGGAGTAGGTGGGGGTAACAACTGAAAATTAATATAATGATCCGATCTGATTAAGATTCGGCAATCTGTTACATATGTTCATTCTCTACGATACTTCATTTTTAGCTTTATCGTATCTTTACAATTGTGCCTGCCACAGATTTTCGTTCTTTGTGGTGGCGGAAGGGGGCGGTGCAAAATACACTTGTAGCAGTTTGATATCACATGAGTCTGGAAACAAAATTTGGTTGCCCTAGCTCGTATAGTCTCTTTGATCAAGGCGCTCAACAAGACGGACGGACAGACAGACATGGCTATATCGACTCGGCTATTGATGCTGTTTCCTTCTCTGCTTTGCACACATCCACTTTTACCACAAATCTAATATACCCCTTAACTCTTTTTGAGCACGGGTAAAACAAGCATACGTAGTGAGAGCAAGAGAGAGCACCCGAGAGAGAGGGAGGGAGTGAGAATCAAAAAAGAGACACAAATATTGCGGCTGAGAAATTTAAGCGGAAATTTTAATCAAAATCATTTACAATTTATTTCAAACAGAGAAAAGCGCACACAACAACAACAACAATAGCAGCAGCAACAAAAATCTGGCTCTGGCGGTGGATGTGCGATAAAAAAAAAAAATACATATATGTACACATAAGAACAAACTATTGGAAGTATCATGGTATCCGATTGTCCATATATGTAGTACGAGAGAGTAATGTCAGCCAAGCACGTTCAACTCGGCTGAGGATCATCGGGTAATCGGGCAATTGAGTAGGTGTAGCAGGGGAGGAGGCATGCAACAGAGCGGGCAGGGCAGGCAGGCAAATGTGTTGAATTCAATTCTGGGCAATCAAGCCGTGTGCGATCTATATATATATATACACACATTCAAGTATAATGCCCATACAAAAATCTGTGTGTAAATATCTCCGAGTCCAGCATTAACACTCTATCCAAGGCGGCGCGGCATTAACAAGATTGTGTTTCCTTTGATTGGGTTCTGAATGCGCGCCAAGACAGCGCTCATACACTGTTCAAAAATAAATGAGAGAAAAATGCTGGAGCTACGACGCTGCACAACAGATAACCAGCAGGCAGCCCGCCCAACTTTTCCCTGTCCATCTTGATCCACTCTGACATATTTCTCGCAGTGTATTCGCGTCTGCTAATTCAATTTATTTTAATGCTCATTTAGTGGCGAGTCTTAGAAAAGTCTCTGCCGAGCGATCATTAATTGCGTATACTCGTATTTTGTTACGATTACGATCTTATGAGCTTTATGATTGCGGTTCAAGTTCATAATGGTATTAATAGAGGAAAACTTTCCACTTCCTTTGAAATTCTTGATATCATTTGATTTTGTTCCCTTTCGGCAGTTCCAATGGCAATCCTTTTGGCGGAAACTTTTCTGCGCTGAGCGAACAGTGTTGCAAAGGCCTGGCAAACAGTGCTTAAGCGCAGCCAAGTTCACTCACATCTGACACTTTTGACAGGCATCCCACGCGTGGCTTTTTCCTTTAATTTGTTAACTCCGAATACAGTGTAATCCTCCGCTATAATGTCGCTTTCGAACTTCAATCTCAAGTCCAAGGTGCTGCTGCATCCACTGGTGCTGTTCCAGATCATCGATGCCTACGAGCGTCGCCCCAAAGACGACACAGAGGTAGTGTCCGTGCGGCAGCAAGTGTTCTATTTATTTATCTACTTGTCTTTCTTGTCGATCAGGTGATGGGAACTTTGATGGGCACTATCGCTGGCAAAACAGGTCGCATCGAGATCTCCAATTGCTTCAGCGTGCTGCACCGCATGCACGGGGCGAACAGCAGCCACATTGACCTGGATCTGAAGTACGACAACGATATGCTGGAGCTGGCCCAGATCGCCTATCCGCAGGAGAAGGTTCTGGGCTGGTTCAGCACCGGCAGGACCATCTCTACCGCAGCGGTGGAGCTGCACGAATACTACGCCCGCCAGTGCCACAGCGGACAGCCGCTGCATCTGCTGATGGATACGTCGCTGCGCGGCGAGCGCATGAATACGCGCCTCTTCTGTGCCGTGCAGACGGGCGTGCCCGGCGGCACCAAGGGCCTGATGTTCACGCTGCTGCCGATGGAGATCTACTACGGCTCGGCGGAGATTGTGGCCATGCGCCACATGCAAAAGCATTGCACGCATCCCGTTAAGAACTCGGGCCGCATATTGACCGAATTCACCCAAATTGTGGACTCCACCAAGGGCATTCAGCAGCGGCTCGACCTAATGCTGCGCTACATCAACGATGTCCTCAATCGCAAGCGACGCCCCGACAACACTGTCGGTCGCGCTTTGCACGATGTCTTGACCTCGGTGCCGATGGTGGAGGCGGAGCGCTTCCGTCACATGTTCAACACCAATGTGCGCGACGTTCTCATGGCGATGACGCTCTCCTCGATGATCCAGAGCCAGCTGGAGCTCACCGAGCATCTATCCAATATGACAGATGCTTAGCCACTGATGTTCCGATGGCAATTAATCAATAAAGCGTCGCCTTTCTGTGGGTGGTGGGTGCGGAGGCTATCCCGATCCCAACACGTAGGCGTACACGGCACTGTGCAGCGATAACACTTATCAGTTGTTTGCTTTACTTGGGTATAATACAGCTGCAGCAGGTTCCCAGCTGTGTGTGAGTGTGTTATCAGCGACTAAAGCTTACTTTCGATCAGTAGTGCAGCTAAGAATGAAGATCTTGCGGTGGAAAGTTTTGTATGCCCTTGCAAATTTAATTATTAAGCAGTTTGCAGAGCCACCCCCAAGCCTCAAGAGCCTCGAGTATCGCAAAGAAGGATCAGTTTTGATCGCTTGTCCCTAATATTAGGAATATTTTGGAGTGTACAATAATTAGGTTGCAGGCTGAGATCAGTAGATCACTTTGTCATGCTTGAACTTGGCAATATACTCGCAGTTATTCGTATGCTCTATCTGCAGGCAGTTCATTCAGCAGTTTTGATCTTTAGCTAAGCTTTAACCTGCTCTTCAACAGAACTCATAAAACCTTTATATGTATGTACATATAGCACATGCATCGAACTGATTGTAAGCACACTTTAGAGTCCAGAATCCCCGGTACATACAAATGAGATCACGCCCAATGGAAACGTTTGCTTCCCAGGCTTCTGCTTACGTTTATAGGAAACCCTTTTTCGTTGAGGGAATTTTCACAAAATTTTCACACCAATCAAATCTTGGGGCAACGCAGAGTGCAGTCCTGTGAGTGCCGAATCATTTGGGCAAGTCCTTGGGGCCCTTATGGCCGGCGAAAGTCCAGAGTGAATACAACAACTGAAAGATGGGGAAGCCGCTTGATCCGCAGTTTTCAGTAGGGCTGCGATAAGAGCAATCTATTTGGGGATTTTGCTCGCTAGGGTGGGACACTGGACTCAAGGGGGGTAGGGAGAAGAGAGAGAGAGAGAGAGAGCTGCGGACCACCCAAATATAACGATGAGATAATTGAGACGCCGCACCGCCCCGCCCTCTGCTTGTGCCCCATCCACAGCCAAGGCGACGCCGCCGCCTTATCGCTTAAGCCAAGGGCTATCGGTGTGCCTGCCCTGATAGCCATCACCGGGACGGACCTGGGCCTGGGCCTGAGCCTAGGCTTGGGCCTGATCCGGACTCGACTCTGCTCTCAGACGTCCCGCAACCGGCGAGCCGAGCAGACGCGCTCCAAGTATTATGTTCTCGCTGCTGAAGCAACCCCTGATCTGCCGCTGCTGCCTGCTGGAGCAGCCGCCGCTCTACCGCAACATCCACGACGACCACCTCCACGCAGAGCTGAGGGCGCTGGCGCCCACTCTGCGGCTGGATGCCGGCGACGGCCTCACCGACATCATCTGTGATCTGTGCCTGCGACGGCTGCACGATGCCCGCAACTTCCAGCGGGAGTGCGAGCACTCGGAGCAGGTGCTGCGCACCCGCCACGAGCAGTGGCAGCATACGGTGGCCGCCGGCGATGCCCTGGCCCTGGACGATGTCCTCGAGTGTCTGGAGCGGGAGGTGGGCAGCCTCGAGGAGAACATGCCGCCAGTGCTGCAGGGAAAACCGGTGGCCTATGTGGCGCCCCTGATGGAATCGGTGGATTTTGGTGAGTTTTGCGGCACTGCAGGAATGACTGATGGACTGAATGATACCCCTATAGATACCCTGGAGTTCCAGGAGAGCCTTGCGAGTCCGTATGAGGCGCCCATTCTGTGGGATGCCGATGCCGGGCCGCTGAACACGCCCCACCATCAACCAGAGACGAACACAGCCGCTCTCCTGCAACTAGAGACGCCAACAACCGAACACCTTGAGACTCTCTCAGCACCAGAGATGCCCCCGGAGAAGCCCAAGCCCAAGGCCAAGGCCACGGCCATGCCCAAGCGGAAGCGATCGAAATCCTCTACTGCTGTTGCTGTCCGCTCCCCTGGCTCCCCACGATCCCTCCATCCGTGCACCGAGTGCGAGAAGAAGTTCACGCGAAATTTCCAGCTCAAGCTGCACATGATCGCTGTGCACCGAATGGGGGAGCTGCTGTACCAGTGCGAGGAGTGCCACAAGAGCTTCGCGAGTCGCCACAGCCTGCGGTACCACGTCAAGTCGCTGCACTCCACGGAGCGTCCCTTCAGCTGTGATCACTGCGAGAGGAAGTTCGTGCTGCGCACCCAACTGAGCTCCCACGTGCGCACCCACACGGGCGAATCGAAGCCGAGGATTTTCGCCTGCTCCAAGTGCACCAAGACGTGGCCAACGAAATCGGATCTGAGGACCCATATGCGCTCGCACGATCCCCATATGGAGCGGCCCTTCAAGTGCGATCGCTGCGACAAGGCGTTCTTCACGCGCGGCCACCTCACCTCGCACATCCTGGTGCACACGGGGGAGAAGCCCTACGGCTGCGACTACTGCGACAAGTGCTACCAGAGTGTGGGCAATCTCAACAATCATATGGTGCGGCAGCATGCGGACATCATTGAGGCCCAGCTGGAGATGGAGGCCATTGAGAGTTGAGTCGCGGCGCGGCGTGGCGTGGCGTGGTGGGGCGCGGAGAAGGGTCCGTTTATCCAGTTTCCGGGTCCCGCGGGCCTGGATCAAGTATTACGCGGCTTAGACATTGCACAATCTGAGATTTGGCAAACATTGTTGCCTCCGTTCCCCGATCCCCGTCGCTTATCGCCACCGTTTCAATGTCGCAAGAGCAGCAAACATTATTTTTTTTTTGTGTCGGTTTCGCGTGTGTGGATCGCGGGTGATTGCCAAACGACACACATGCGGATTGGAACTGGGGCTGGGGCTGGGGCTGCTTGGGGTTCGAGGTGAAAGCGGCCAGAAATCGTATAAAATCCAAAAACCAAATTCAATCGAAATAGAAATCGTGCAAAAAGGTGAAGAATCCAAAACAAAACAAAACTAAAAATAAATAAAAATAAAAAAATAAAATAAAATAAAAATAAATATTAAATAGAGCCATAGGACTATGATAATATAGATTAATATATAAATAGAATAAATTTGATAAATAATACTGCAAATGAGTTCGAGTTAGAATATAATAAAAAATCGAATAAACACACAGAAAATGACTTGGGTAACAGGTAGAAACCACTCGGAAAGGAAAGTAAAATCCCCCCGCACTGATAATCTCTGCAAACATGACTGACTTATCTTGGTTATAGCTTGGCTATTTTATTAAATATTGAATAAAGGATTCAAAACTCAACTCAAACATTATGAAGGGGTCTTATGAAACCCAACCCCCATCCTAGGTAGGGCCTTATCAACTAAAACGTCTCTCCCTCTATAACCAAGAGCTGCCCCCGTTTGTCTATGTGTCTGCCTGTGGCTGTGCCTGTGTCTATAAACAATAAATACAACAATCAAATATGTACACAAATCATTAAATGTTAACCAGAGGCGCGAGATAGAGAGACGGAGGCCAGCCCAAAGGGTCGATCCAGTGTTAGATTGTAAAAAAAAAAGCGCAAGTAAAATATCAGCATTTCCAGCACGTTTAAAAATTGCTGAATTTCCAGTCGACACTCTGCACTATATCCCTGAGATGCTAAGAGCCAACAAATTGCATCTATCATTTATCATTCATCTTTCTCTCTCTTTTATAGCTAGCCATCTGATCTGGTATCACTTCACCACAAAACGCCCCACTGTCGTCTGACCCAAACCAAAGCGTTGATCGGACACAGCCGCTCCATCCGGACCCACCAAAAACACAACCACAATCCAATTCCCCCTCACTGGTCACTTTTGGACTGTCCGCAGCATTGGCTTCAATTACGAAACGCTCACAATTATGCACTTGAGTGTTACTGCACCACGCAAAAAAAAAAGGGTAGTTAAAGTGTTAATCTAATTAAGTTTGATAAAAAAAAAAGAGGCACAAGCACATACACACACACTCGGGGGAAGTGACCGAATGGATGGCCTAGGTCGGAGATTTATGGAATGTGAAATTACTCAGAGACGCGATGATAACCTTGTCTCCGAGCCTCTGCTGCCTCTCCAGCCCTGTGGGATGGCATTTCCTTAACGGCGGTTACTCATCCGGCTATACCTCGGCGGAGTGTGTTTGCCTTAACGTGCGCAGAGCCTTTCCCGTCCAGACAGTGACCCAATCAAGGCTTTTGTTGTGTCTTTGTGTATGTGTTCTGGGGGGGATCTTCTGTATCTTCGAACGTGCTGTTTCCTCGATCGTACGTTCTGTTGTTTCAGGGTGGGGCTTAATACGAGTTTACACTCGCATAAGAGCAAGTACTCCTACTCATCTCCTCCCTGAATAACGACCCATGAGATCTGCTGCCTATACTCGACTCCGTACTCCCGTACCTTTTGTTATCGCCCTGCCCTCCATTCGCCACATTCAGCTGCAGCGCAGGGATTGATGTACGATTCGCGTATTGTTTGCTGGGTCTTTGTACTTCAAATCTTTGAATTGCTTCCAAATTTTATGCTGGGGTCAATGGATGACTGATATGAGACGACAGACACCACAATATGATCGGCTCTACATATACAGATAAATGGGGCAGAGATTATTGATTGTTTCCAAAGAAGTTCAATGCGTTTTTCGGACTGAATCGATGATCTCCTATCTAGTGGGAGAACAGCAGCTGATTCGTATTTCGAGACTTCTTCAAGAGACAAAACTAAGATAAATATTCAGCCTCTTTTCCTTAATCTTTTCTCAAATCTCAATTCATTTTATTTACACAAAAACCAACAACAATTTAGTGATATATACACCGCACCCCGCACACTAATCCTTAATTCTCAATCCCTAGCCGAACGTTCGAAGAGGAGGCGGCCCAAGTGCACCTGCTGCTGGGCATACGAGTTGAGCGCCTGCTGATCTGGGCCCAGAGAACCAGAGCCACCCTCCGGCGTGACCGACTGACGCACCAGCTCCCGGAGGCTGGCCGAGATCTTGGCCGTGCGGAAACGGGCCTCCTGCCGCCGCTGTCGGCCCTCGACAAAGCGCTGCGACTGGCTCCGCTTGCGCTGAATGTCCTCCTTGAGTTGCTGCTGCTTGAGCCGTTCCAGATGCTGGCGCTCGCGCCAGTGCTCCTCGTGCTGTGCCTGTTCCACGTAGTTGTCGTGCTGCAGCCGGCGCAGATACGCCTCCAGGAGCTGGCCCCGCAGCTCGTCGGCACGACGGATGCGCTGGTTGAGCCGCATGCAGATGTCGCGCTTGCGCAGGGTGGAGTCCAGGTACTGCTCCTCCTGGTGCACGGTGACGGCCTCGCTGCGACGCAACTCCTCGCAGCGCCGCTGGCATAGAGTCATGTCCCGCTCCAGCCGCATGGAGGCCAGTCGCTGCTTGGCCGCCGCATCCTTGGCATCCAGAGCGCCCCGCAGGCGCCGCAGCTCCGCCAGATCCCGCTCGGCCAAGGCCTGCAGGCGGGCCTTGGTCATCAGGTAGTCCTGGAACTGTTTGTCATGCACCGCCCGCTTGTACTCCTCCACCTGCTCGACCTTGAGGAGCTGCCGCTCCAAGCGCTCGTTCTCCCAGTACTTTCGCGCCAGCCAGGCATGCTCCTTGTCCGTCGCCTGTTGGCTCCGCTTCACGGCCATTCGGTTGAGTATCTTCTGGTCGTGGTCGGGCACCTGCTGGTAGGCCGCCCGCACCGTCGGCGCCAGGCACAGATTGGCCATGGAAGCGCACAGGGATTTGCCGTCGCCTCGTTTGTGGTGGTGGGCCTGCGCCTGGCCGAGGGGCACCAGGGCCATGTTCTCCTGCGACTTGGATTTGCCTCTGCCACTGATGGACAGGGCGGGGGCGTCGCCGAGGGGTACCAGAAAGTGCTGCGCAGCGGATAGATTTAGTTTTAGCATCGTCTTAGAGCAACGCAACCCTCCACCTCCACTCACCTGCAGCATCTTGCAATCCCTTTGAGCACCGCGTCGCTGTCGTACCTGTGGCTGTGGCTTTGCTTCCACTGGTTCCTCCTTTGGAGTTCGCCGCCTGGAGTCACTCCTTTGGCTGCCGGCGCTCTTGGACCGTCTGCTTCTGCCCGATGTGGAGGCACGCGTCTGGCACTCTGCGGAGCCGCGTCTGCTCTGGGCTCGCGAGGTTTTCCCCTCAGCGGGGGATCGGGAAGCACTGCGCTGACGCTGACTGCTGTGACTTCTTCTGCCCGCAGATGCTGCACCCTCTCTGCGCTGCAAATGCTCCAGAGCCTCGATCTCCTGATCCAACTGATGCAGTTCCTCGTACTTCTGCTGCTGCTGCTGCTCCTTGGGCGCCTCCTGCTGGTGTCCACTCGCACTGCCGCTGCTGTGTGAACTGTAGCAATCGCAGTGGCAAATGTCGCAGCAGCTGTCGACCAGCTCCAGTTCGTCCAGCAGCTGCTGATGCTCTGCCTTCAGCTTGGCTTTGCTCCTGGCCCGCGACTCGCTGCGTCCGCGACGCTTACGCTTTGGGGTCATCCTTCCGCTGCTCCCTCTAGCAGCGACGGCCCATGGGCTAGTTTACGGGCAATCGGGTCCGGTTGTAGTCCTAGTCCTCGCCCAATGAGGCCACACTCTAAACAGGAATTTATTTCGATGCTAAAACGTAATCAACCCAAATTCCTGTGCCATCGCCCTGCGTCGATATTTCCGACTTGCTTGTTGACTTTTTTATTGATTGGTCCCAAAGGCAAGTTGCCACGGGCAACGCCGCCCGCCCATCACAGGCCCAGCACCCCCTTCTGACAGTTTTAGAGGTTCTTTGGGGGTATATTTCTGTCTAGTTTTGGCCTCCAACAGAATGCGGAAATTACCAACGTCAATTAGCTAATTCGGAAAGTGAAAGGTCTCCGGAAGGCAGCCGAGAAAGCAGAGAACTAAACAAGGACAAAGGCGTAACAGAAGCCAAAGAGTTGTAGGCCAAAAGGGGTTTCCCTCAATCGGTTTTAAGGTTCTTCATCGATATATTTCTTTAAACTTTAAATTCGGCTATATCTAGGAATAAATTTATAATCAAATCATTATCCATTAGTTAACATTCCAAGAAAATAAATTACAGAGAGTTGGAAAGAGAACAGAGAAAAGTTATCCATAGAGAGAAGTTTGTGAACAAAAGTGGTTACATTTTGCGGGAGGGGTACAGAGCACATAGAATCATAGGAGAAGGTACAGCATTTCATAGATATTTATATACAACAACTTGAACATTTTCTAGCTAATAATTTACACACAAATACGCGGCACAGACACAGATACAGATCTGAATCTGATCTCCATAATTATACGAAAAGTTTGTAATACTGACGGGAAACAAAATTAAGCCAAACAAAATAATAATAATAGCAATTAGATAAACTAATTACAGCGGACAGTGTGTTTGGGGGGCGCGGGGGCTTATAGAGACGTTTAAGTAAGTAATATTGCTGTTCACTTTTGAGGTTAGTCGAGGTTGAATCTTCTACATAAAACGATACGAGGGGAAATGCCAGGGGATCCGATCCGATCCGATCCCTATCTACTCAAAGACCAAGGGAATCGAGGTGAATGGCAGCACCGGGCACGATGGCTCCAACTGCAGCGATGTGGCAAAGCAATCCGCCGCTGCATAGAAATCCCCCAGGGATTCCATAACCTTGCCCAAAGCAAACCTATATTGGAACACACACGCAATCAAATCAATAAGGCAGCATGGAGGGGATAAATCTATTGAATACATACCAAATTCGGGGACAGTTTGGATCCAGCTTGGCCGCATCCTTGAGCATCTTTTCGGCCAGCCGAGGCTCGCCCAAAATCAAGTGGGTTTCGCCCAGGGCACGCAGTGCCTCCGTGTGATTGGGATTGGCGGCCACAGCATTGAGGTAGCATTGCTTGGCATCCCGCCACTGCTCCAGATACACATGCACCTGACCGCGCTGCAAAAGGGGAGTCGCCAATTAGATAAAAGTACACTTTATGAGTTGCTCTGGCTCTGGCATACCATATACATAATCTGATGCGAGAGGGGATAGATCTGCGAGGCCTCGTGAATGCAGTTGAGTGCCTCATTGGGCTGTTCAATGCGCAGATAGACATCCGCCAGCAGCAGCCAAATCTGAAAGGGAATCCACAGGGGAGTTTAGTTGCAAGGAAAGTCATACGAAAGAGGACTGCAATGCCCACCTCAATTTGCAGCATCCAGGGTCTGCGGGGTCCAGGTCGCTGGGTGAACGAACTCAAAGAGCTGGCCGCCTCGCTCAAAGCCTGCTCCACGCGCGAAACTGCAGCCAGTGAAGCGGCATACACCGAATCTTCAAGAGTTAAGCATTATATAAGAATATATACAACATAACAAAGCGGTAGAAAGATCAACAAAGAAATGGAACAGTATAGAGTGAGAAGAAGCAAGACATAAAACAGGCAAAAAGTGTTATGAAACATGGAAGGATATATACATATACTAGAAGAGAAGCAGGCAAAGTGGAGAGAGGCAATGCAAATCGATCAAAAATATAGAAAAGGGAATAGCAAAAAGTATGTGTGTGTGGGACCTGCCCGTTAATCAAGATATCAGAGCAGGGCCTGCACAACATGATCCTTTGTCGGAAACTTACAATTATTTTGAGTGTTTTGGATTTGATTTTGATTGATTGGTTTGTTTGTTTGTTTGTTTTTTTGGCATATACAATAGACACATTCCACAGAAGATCGGGTATAGTTTATATATATATATGGGACATATGTACAGAACACAGACGTTAGTAGAGATATTTGTATATGGATTTGTTTAGATGCAAGTGGCAGACAATGGCCGAGGGGGGCCCACACACTTACTTGAGTCCTTGTCGGACATCTGCGAGGAGTGCACCATATGCACGCCGCTTTTGGTGTCCGAGTGCTTCTCTTCCTCGCCGGCCAGCTGCGCCTCGTACACATCCCGCCAGACGGCCAGCATGTGCTGGACGGTGGCCAGCGCCGTTTCCGCATCCTCCAGATGCAGCTGCAGATGGGCCTTGACATGCAACAGCTGCAGATTGTCGGGGAACTCGTGCAGGGCATCCTCCACCACGCCCAAAGCTTCGCGGGGACGTCGCGATGCCGTCAGCAGGAGGGCAAACAGATGCAGACAGGGGGCGTGCTCCATGCGCAGAGCCAGGGCGAAGCGAATGTGGGCCAATGCCTCGGGCAGCTGATTCAGCAGAGCATACTGCAGTGACAGATAGTACTCCGCTAGGTGATCGTTGCCATCGTTCTGGACGGCCCGCTCGAGAGCTTCCAGCGCCAGCTTGTGGCAGGCATCGCGGTCGCTCCTCAGGTTCGATTGGATCGCCAGCTGCTGCTGTCCAATGCCCACAAACAGTTGGCTTCGCGAAGGACGCAGACCTGCAGAGAGTACACATTAATATTCTGAGTGTTTGATTTGCCACTCTGTCCACTCACCTTTGAGCTCCCGCTTGAGCGCCTGCTGAGCGTACTCCAGTCCCTGTTTGACCGTCTCCAGGCTTTCGTAGCACAGCCGCGAGGCCAGAAGACAGGGCAGCGGATCGCTGGGCGTCAGCTTAATCGACTCCTGCAGCACCCGCAACGCATGCGAATGCTTCTCGGCGGCCATCAGACTCAGGCCGTACTGCCGCCAGACGTGCTGCTCGCCAAAGCTGAACTTTAGCGCCTTCTCGAAGGACTCGTTGAGCAGCTGGACGAGACCCCAGCGGACCGTGGCCAGGGTTAGCAGGTCGTAGACGGCCGTCACATTGCCCATGGCGTGCTGGCGAGCCTGCTTAAATTCGGGGCTCTGCGACAGCACGGTGTCGCGCACGGCCAGGGCCTCGGCGATGAGCAGTAGAAGGATAACCTCCTCCTGCTGGTTGCGCGGCGAGAACTGCTGTCGGGCCTGGTACTTGCGCGGCTTCCACAGCTTCTTGGAGGCGCCACCACGCAGCGTACTTCCACCCGATTTGCTGGTAAACGGAGGCGCGTAAATGGTACCCGATACACCTCGGAGCAGGACCTCGGCCAGCTGGCGGGTAAGCGTCAAGCGCAGCGTTTGCGTGGCCCTCGTCTCGATGGCATTCAGCATAATGCGGTATCGCTCCACAGCCTCCTGCAGTTTGCCCGTCTTGATCAGTACGATGGGGGCCCGCTGCAGGGCCGTCTCCAGGATGGCGCCCATGCGACGATTCCCCTCGTGGGTTGCCGCCCCGCTGGCGGGAATGGTGCTGCTGATGGCAAAGCTGCTGTTCGACTGCTGCACACCGGCGTTCACATTGAGCGTGGAGCCGGCCGTCGAGTTGTTGGAGCTGCTGCTGCCACTCACGATGTCGTACTCCTGCAGATACAGCAGCCCCAGATCCGAGGCTCGCTCAAAGCAGCTTATCTGGAAATAGGTATGGCATTTCCTTCTCGAATCCTTTAGAGAATGATGCAATCACTCACCATCTCCGTGTCCTTTTCGGCCTTCTTGAACTTGGACGAGGGCTTGGATGTCTGATGCTCCAGGCACAGGCCCTTGATAGCATACGACTCGGCCAGGATCTTCAGGCTGCGTCTGTAAGCGATAGAAGATGAGTTTGTTTCCTCTATCCACGCACACCCGTCCACCAATCTACCCACAATGTCAGCTCCTTTTCGGCCAGCGTGTTGAGCTCAGCTTTGATAAAGTTCTCCAAACTAGGCTCGTACTCGCCGCAGGCGAAGCAGAGCTTGGCCAGCAGCAGGTACGCATCCAAAGCAATGCCCGCCTTTTGGCCACACTCCCCGAGAGCCAGATTCAGGTAGCGTCGCGCCTCGGCCAGGCCCGTCTTGGCGCGTCCAAAGTTCGATTCAGCAACCAAAGCATTCTCCTCCAGGTAGCTCTCCAGGCGAGCCTCACCCACCAAAAAGTTGGCCAGGCATTCTATGGTGGGAGGGGGTGGGGGAAATTGATTGGTACATCCTTAGAGAGCCTCTACAGATTACTCACCATTGTGGGGCGAGCCTGTTTTCAGCTCGTCCGTCAGATCGATGACGCGCTGCCATTTGCCCTCGCTGCGACAACTCTCGATCAGAGCCTCGACTTTGGTCGTATTGCTTCGCATATTGCGATTGGCCATCCGGCTGGACTATTGTCACTGATGGAGAGTTCTGTTCTGCCTGGGCGCTGTCTGTTTCCGAGTATGTGTGTTGTGTGTTGTGTGGGTAAAACGCTTCCTTTCCACCTAATTACAGCATTTTCTCTTTGATTTTAATCCAATTACAGCAACAATATTGGAATTTTTCATCTGTATTAGAGATGCTACATTATTGATATATCAATGTATCGATGTTGATAATAATAGCTGACACTATTTTCAAAAAATATCGATAGTTTTGTGCGATAAGTGGGAGTTATTTTAAAAAATAAGAAAGTTTACATAATAAAATTGACTTTATAATTTCAAACAATCAGAAAATTTATACAACTCTGATCGTATGCAAAATACGCCTGCAAATTGTATTTCTTCTTACATGAATTCTACACCGGCATCATGAAGTCTGCGTGATTTTTGCCGCGCACAGCTCTCGATACTTATCGATGACATTTGATACCCTTGAGAGAACGGCTATTACGAAATTGATGAGACCTTTTAACTCACAATAGTTTTGGTCGCCACAACGTATCAAAATTACGAAATATTCTCGTTATAAATCAGAATAGATAGGTAACTCTCAGAAAAACTCTTTATTATATGTAGTTTTCAATCCCATTAATTGAGTTGAAGCTGGAAAACAGTATTTAAACTGTGCATATTGCAAACAGGGTACAGAAACTTCCATATCCTACCTAGCAACCTTCCATACATCCAGCCGCTTGTGGAAATGGTGACACGCCACGAACAACTTGGGGCTTGGAGCCCAGTAGACATTTTTTCTTGTTGGAGCCACACGCGTTGCGGACTATCCGCGGTGAACAAAAATGTCTGTGCGGCTTTTTACGATACAAATGAGAGAAATGTACGTACATATGTGAACTCTGACTAAATTTTTAAATGAATTAACAGTGAAAAGTGTTAACGAGTTCCGTTCATTACAAACAACTCTGATAAATTGTTTAATATTAAGAGAGCGCTTAGAGCCGCCGTTAAGCGGTAAGTTATAGTTGCACTTATAAGTGTTTTTTTTTTGTTTTAGTTAATTAAG